AAATCATTCAAACAAATAACAACTGAAACTGATCATAATCAAAACTAACGAATAAATAATTTATTTCTTATTAGCCTAAAAAAATTATGCCACATTACTAAAACTAATTTCGCTTTGCAGGATCAATCCAGTGCTAAATCTCCCTTTTTTTCTACATAGCCTGAGCAATGGTAACTGGCTTTTTCTATGTCTTACCTTGATCTGTGAAAGCTTCATTCTCTGACATTCCGCTTCCGCTTCACTGGCTCGTTTGGATAGCACCAGTGCTTCTTCCTCAGAAACTCGAGCTTTTTCTGCCATTAAATGCGCATTCTCCTCGGTTTTCTTTAGCGCCTCCTAAAAACAACAAAAATATGTTACAGATAATGTAAAAAAACTAATAATTCTATGCTCAAAAGAGTTCTAGTGCATCACTAATATTCACTTCCTAAAAAACAATCCATGCATTATGAAACATAGCCCTCTGTTCAGTGGCATCTCAGTCAAAATTCATGGGCCTCGTCTTGAAATTATCAAACAAAAAAAAAAAACACTGCCCGCGTAACTTTTCTATCGAGTTCATTTTTTCCAAGCTGTTCACATGTGTCGTTTTAGGACCAGGCCCATCCACTTTTAAACGTCACTACTCACTTTTCTTCGGCTAATTTTTGAACACCTTTCTGGCTGCGTCCGTCTGGTCAAATTTCACATCCTGCTGACTAGATTTTGTGACCACCGGTCCGCTACTTTCACATTTTTTCTTAATTTAACAAATAACTATCGATTGGAAATGTCACTGCTTTTACTCTCTGCGGTTTCGCCTTGAATTTTACTGAAAATTCACTGCCTTTGTTAAAAATAAGCTGTGAAAACCTTCATAGTGAGGAGCTGTTTGTTGATTGCGGCTATTTCAGTTTTATATTGGTCGCGTTCGGCTTCCGCTTGGATACGCTGCTCGCGTTCACGTGCTAAACGATTCTGCTCGTGCTAAAAATACAAGAAATATGCACTGCTTTTGAGTATGCACTTAATTTACAAGTAATACTTAAGTTCTTCAGTTGCAGTCTCAAAAAATATCGAAGATCCAACAGCGTAATGCCTTCTGAAGAAAGTTAATGTCAATCTAAACAATATGACATCATACCACAGTTCATAAGGAACAGGCAGCCCCAGGACAAAAACACTAGAAGCGGCACCAGTGAACAAGAAGGTATATGAACCAGTTAACAGGAAGGTATAACAAGATGAAATAAGAAGAATCAAAAAGGAGAGGTAGGAAATGAGAATTAGAAAATTTATAAAATTAGTAAAATTATTAAAATGATAAGAAATGTTTCTGTCCATTAAGTCGTATACATTTTTCACCATTACCACAATTTCTTATCATTATCATAAGTCTTTTTTGAGTATTTCGCTTCAACTTTTACAGTGGCAGATTATTCCCTCCTCTTCTTCTACTTCCTTTTTTAACACCGTTATCACCACGACAACTTCTGTTGCACTCTCATATCACTGGTTATTTAAAATACTTGGAGCAGCTCTTGTCCACAGTCTGATTGTTTCACTGTGCAGCTGGTAACTTTTCCAACTGATCTATTCAGTGCTGCTTTGTCTATTAATCAGCCAGCTCTAACTGGTGGTCCTGATATTCCTCTTGTTTTTTTAAGCGATTAAGGGCTCAACAATTTTGTCGATAGAAGCATTTGGCAAGGCTTTTGTTGCTTCAAAATGACTCCAATGTGTCTCAGTCATCACCATCTCATCCCAAACGGGGCTCCTTTCCGTAGGTGGATCCAGAACGGACTCCTAGGGAAGGGAAGGGAGAGCGACCGAGAGTGAGTCCCCCTTCACAATATGCAAAACTTGTAACGCTGCTAGTTAGAGTTATTTTAGGCTCTAATTTACTTTAATTTTAGACCAGGGCTTTTGCAGCACTGGGAGAGACTCTTTGCCCCC